ATGAGAGAGGGATGCGAAGGGTCTTCTGATAAGTTAATGTGTGTATGTGTGTGTGTTGATGCTGAGGCTATGCTGCTACAAGTTGCGCAGTGCATGGAAAATATAATTATATTATCCACAGAATCCTTCTGGGAAATAGGACTAAGTGACAGGATAATGCAGCGGGCGCCAGTGGGCCACGTGACAACACGCCGCGCCGTCTAATTGGACTCAATCTGTGACGTCACTAATTGTTGTTTCGCTATTTCAATTAGCGACGGTTTCTGCCTCCGACTCACACACACACATACACAAAATACATGTACAATACGGTGTCTACATAGAGCGTAAACTGAAGAGAAAGAGCAGTCTGCTCGCTTCCTCCTGTTTCCTACCTACCCTTACTCTCCCGCCCCTTGTTCCGTACAACAATCTAGCACTTTCCTCCGCTTATCCAAAAACACGACTGTTCCCTAATTGCGAACGCATCGCGCCGAATTAAAAGCAGACTCGTAATTCACTTTAAATCCGTAGGTAGTCGTACATCTGTAATCCTTCAAAGAGCATCCGGAAACTTTGCACTCAAGCCCTTTCTCTTCAACCCTCTCTTCCTTCTAACCCCCCTTAAAAAGAAACCTAACGCAATAGGTCTTCCCAATACTCACATTTCAAAATATAATCATTAACGCCTTCTGATTATTTTTTGTTTCAATTAAAAAAAAATAAACAAAAATTGTTTGCGTTACTAAGTGATTTGGAGCACAATTATTAAAAGTATTAGAATTTTCAAGAATATTAAAAAAAATATATATTTCATATTATATAATGTGCGCATTTTCGAGATGTATGAATTTTTCAAGGATTAGAGTTTTGCAATTGTATAGTGCGGAAGAGAGGAGCGGCGGAAGCAGAGGAAGAGCTTCGATACGTGTCCTCGTAAATGGATACGCGACACAGTTTTGTTTTGCAGAGAAAATAAAGTCCGCAATGAAAGATGCAGAGCGTTTTCTGTGGGTGGCTTTGGAGGAGGATGGAGCGTTGGGTGGCGGATGGTACGGGTTTGGAAGGGCGATTGCATCAGATATACGAGTTTTCGATATGAGTTATGGGCCTCTGGTGGCCATGGCGACGACTTGCCAAACGCCTACATCAAATATGCAAAGGCTTCAGCTCCGTGTGCAAACACCCACACACAACGTACATGCATGTTGGAAAGGAGTGGAGAGAGAGAGAGAGAGAGAGGGATATTCGTACGAAAGGAAGACCGGACTTCTTTGGGTATTCTTCTCGAGATGCACCGCACAGGGCGGGCTACAAAGCAATCTGCAACATTTATGTGTCGCCTCTGCACGATGGAACAACAAAAAAAAGAAAGCAACAGAAGGTACCGATCCGAAACCACCAACTGCCAATCTTTGAATTATTACATCGTGCGAAGGAGGCCAAAAAAATATATATACACATTGAGAGTGAGAGAGCAGAGGAATAATAAAGAAAAGAGGAACGTCCAAAAGTGAAGAGATTTATCGGCGAAAAATTTCCATACGAGTTAAAGTTTAATACGTGGAGCTCTGGGGGATTCAGCGGAATACAAAGGAATTAAGTTCGTTCCGTTCGTCTTCTCCACGTTCTCTCTCTCTCACACACACACTTTCGTTGTTTTTTTTTTGCACTCTTGAGGAGGATACAAGGCCCCATTCGGATTGAAGCCATAAATTGGACCGCTTTCATAGTCCACGTAATTTTCCAACGCAATTTTCCACCCAAAAAAAAAAAATATATATATATAAAATAAGATTGTGAGAAGGAAGGGAATATGCGAATGGAAGAAATATTATAATAATTTCGAACAATTTCATTCCCATAAAATATTCCAATTTGAATAATTTAGTTTTTCTCTTTATTTGCAAATTTGTATTAGTCCATTATCATTTTTCTATTATTTATTTAGTTTAAAAAAAAAATAAGTTAATTGTTCAAATTTTGTGATAATGAAATTTTCTTGTAATTTCATTTCGAAATGTTATAAAATTATTAAGAAAAATATTATGTACCCGGCGCATCCACGTTGAAATAAAAACTTTAAACGTAGAAAAAGATATAGTTTTTTTTTTCTATTAAACAACATAATTAAAATAATTGTATAGAAAAAGTTGTAGGTATTCAAATTGTAAGTTGGAATAAAATAGTGAGTAAATTTGTGCGGACGTTTGCTGCATATGTGTACATGTGTGATACTAATGTAAACGGAAGAGTAGTGGTTTGGAAGAATGAGTAGAAGGTAGTGAGAGAGAGTACATGTTGAGTGTTATAAATCTATGCTAGTTTGTAAAAGAGACAAGGTACAAATGGGCCTGGGGATAAAAGTGGGCTCCGCTTACTTAGACTACGGCCTTTCAAGGGCCGTTAGCGAAGCAACTAGTCTTATTAAGTAGATTGATTGCAGTCATTTGAGCCCCGATAGAGGAGCACCGCACCGCAAGGAACTCTGTTAATTATCCATATATCACCATTACTCTTTTTCCGGCCCTCCGGACGCGCCGAGTAATTGCGGTACTTTGCGGAAAATTCGAAGAAGAATTTAAAGATCTATCTAATTGAGTGCATAATCGGTATGGTGGGTGGAGGGATGAGATGAAGGAAGAGGAGGAGATGGCGTTGGCGGCGGCAGTCGTGGAGCGAAAGATGTAGAGAGATGGCACGGTGAAAGATGGCATGTAAAATGCATGGGGCACGGGCTCTGAGGCTCGCATTCCGATGCGACTGTCTGCATTATTCACAATCCACTCGATTCCAGATTACTCTCGATTCTTTCAACTTATATTTCCCATATTTACAAATACTCTATGACATATCCCGTCTCCGTCCATTCCTCAACAAGAATAGCGCCAACACCCTCCATCTCATTAAAACAACTTGCCAAGTAACTTGCAATCCATATACTTGATTACATGCTCAAATTATAATAGTTAAAGTATTATCAACAAGTTGCATTACAAGTACTTTCATATACTTTATTAAGATACTTTCAACCATCCATGCACATAAAAATAGTTGCCAAGTAACGCATAACCTTGATATGCAAATCATAACATTAATGATAAAAACAAATGACAGCAACGTTACGTAATAAGGATCGCCAACTATAAATAATGCATATTCGCATCCATCGATGGAAATCCATACCGGTGCTACAGATTCTTTATTTTCCTTTTTCACTATACCTTTTTGCTCCTTTTTTCCTTTCTTTTTTTTTGTATCCTATACCAATTCCACGCTCCCTTTTTTTTTGCTCGAATAATAATTTAATATTACGGATGACATGGGAACAACGAGGAAAACATACTCCGAACCGGCCTCCTCTCATTCCCTCGTCCCTCTTCTTGCATATTTTATAAATCTTTTGTTCCATTAAGATACAACAAACGCAAGAAGTCACCCTAGATCTTCCGACGGAACAACAAACATATTATAATTCGTAGATCCGTAACACTCAATTTCCTGCAACTAGATAAATAATAGATTATCACTCTTTCCCTCTTTGAATTTCAAACTCTCAATTTTTTTTTATTAAAAATTCCTTAAAAAAAATAACTTAAAATTTGATTTTTTTACTAACAAAATCGTTTTAATTTGTTACAGAGCAGTTAAATAAAGATGTGTATGTTTTAGAAACTTTTGAATAAAAATTCCTCTAAAGCATTTAATTTCTAAATCAGTTACTTTAATAAATCTTCTGTATAATAAAAACAAGTCTCGTATATGTAATATGTTCATAAATCTCAGGAGAGCAATTAAAAACAAGTTTTTAACAAATAACAAACAACAAATATTAATTCTTACTTCAAAATTTAAATAAATTCTATAATTTCTAAAATATGCAGCAGGAGGCACAGCTAAAACAAATAGTTAATAATACAACAAGCCAGCCACTGTCTGTTAAGTCAAAGCACAAAAACCAAAATAACACTTGTTCTTCGGATTTCTTCTTCCGCTCAAATAACAGCTTCTTCCAATAAAATCATAACTTCCTTCTTCAGCCCAAATATTCAAAATAAACAACTTCATCTAATGAAACTAAGAAATAACTATTAAACCAAACTTAAACTAACTTCTATCAAATATATACATAGGATAGATACGGCAAGACAGGTAAAAACTTTGTAACTTGGCTACAGAAGTACATTTTTGCGCCATCTACCATTAACACGTGCAAGATTAAAGTTCATCACTTTTGGCGCTGTACAAATCTTACGTTTGTTATTACTGTTATTATATAATAACCAATATATTACCACCCAAATTAGCTTTGAAATCGTAGCTTAAGTATTTTGTTAAAACTAATAGTTAAGAAAATATGTACGATTTAAAATTTCTGTAAAGCGCCACCTGTATATAATCAATCAAATTATTTGGTTTTATACAATATTCTTTTAAATTGTTTATTTATTTGTATATAAATAATTATAAAATAATTATTTTGATTAGAACTTTTCAAGTTAAATTTAAATATAGTACACATCAATGACTACCATCTATTAGTAAGTAGTTGACAGTTGTTTGGAAGTTGGAAATTTGAATTTTTTTTTTTATATATTTACTGGGAATGATGTAATTAATGAGATTGTTTGATACACTTAGGTGATTATTAATTAATTTGATTTTTTTTGTTTTCGGATATTTGTTTATTCTACTTTGGAAATGCAGTGATTTGGTGTGATAAAGAGTTGATGTGAACATCTTTCTTATCGTATTTAATTCCAATTGGTGGATGGACATGTGCTAAGTAGTTTGACACTAATAAATCAAGGTAATCATCATTTTTTCTATATGAAATCAATCGGTTTGAGGATAATAATTGTGTATAAATTACGGGAAATAATTATTAATGAGAATGTTAGGTTATATTTATTATTGGTTTTGACGTTTAAGTTTGACGTTGTCGGGTCGCCTGAATTTAAATAAAAATGTTGTTTATCTTAAATATTTAACGTTCGCTATGTTAACTATTGCGTAATTATAGTTCTTTTTTCAGTGGAACTATGTGTTGCAGTGCAAATAGTGGTTTGGATATTGTGTAATTCTTACTAATATTTGTTGCGTTTGGCAACGTTGCAGTGTTTCATTGTAGTAATCACTACTTGCTCATTACTCGTGTATTTATCACTCCAGTATTTAAGTATCCTAGCTGAAAGTTGTATCATGTGTGCGGCGTGTACGTGCTGATGCTGATAAAGAGATTAAGTTGAAAGACATCCGCGAAAAAAGACGTAAAAATGGGAACATCGGTGGTGACGCAATGCATGGACGATGGTATAGGCCAAAACAAAACGTACAAGAGGGTAGGATCAGCCCTTTTCTATGGAATAGCCTCGTTCATGATAACTGTGATCAACAAGAATGTCCTCACCAGCTACCAATTCCCCTCATTCCAAGTGCTCGGTTTGGGGCAGATGGCTGCCACCCTCATAGTCCTGTTCACAGCAAAGAAATTGCGGATAGTCAGCTTCCCGGATTTTGATTTAAACACTTTTGGAAAGATATGGCCTTTGCCAGTGATCTACATAGGGAACATGCTGTTTGGACTTGGAGGCACCAAAGAGTTGAGTTTGCCCATGTTCACTGCTCTGAGAAGGTTTTCCATTTTGATGACAATGATCGCAGAGCTATACATTTTGGGTGTCAGGCCCACCTTCAGTGTGCAGTTCAGTGTATACACAATGATTTTAGGTGCAATAGTTGCAGCCAGCAACGATCTGGGCTTCAACTTTGTTGGATACGTTTACGTTTTATTGAATGACTTCTTCACCGCCACCAATGGCGTTTACATAAAGAAGAAACTGGATTCCAAGGAGCTGGGAAAGTACGGTTTAATGTACTACAATTCGCTCTTCATGTTTATACCGTCGCTGTTCTTCGCCTTTTACACCGGCGATCTGGAGAAAGGATACAACTATACGAGATGGAACGATTTCATGTTTTCGGTGCAATTCCTTTTATCCTGCGTTATGGGATTCATATTATCGTACAGCGTTATACTGTGCACGCAATTCAACTCGGCGCTAACGACGACGATCATCGGATGCTTGAAGAACATTTCCGTCACGTATTTGGGAATGGTCATCGGCGGAGACTACATCTTCTCGTGGATCAACTTCATCGGCATCAACATCAGCGTCTTCGGAAGTCTCATCTACACTTACGTCACCTTCAAGCGCAAGGACGCCGGACCTCTGCCCGACAAATCCAGCAAAGCGGACATCGTATAGTACACACGCAGATCCTTAAAAAGTGCCATACGACGAGAGTAGACTGAGCACTTTTTAAGATTATCACTCTTTGTTTAGCCTTATCACCTCTAGTTGGGTGATAAAGTAGCTCATGAAACATACCAAAGCGAGATGTTTTATTAAAACAACAAAATATATATAAATATATATATTTGAAATTAAAAAAATAAATCTTCCTGTATTATATTTATATTATAGATAAGTCGATAAAACGGAGATTCAAGCAAAAATCGAGAATCGTGTGTCATAAACAAACTGTTTGTTCTTTATTATTATTGGGCTATGTTATTTATTTTGCCATTAAATATGTAATCCTATTTATTTTTACCACGTCATGATTCTCAACGCTCTTCGTTTAAGATTTGTTTACTTAGTGGAGGAACGAATACCAATGCTCTCATTTTAGTGCAATAATAATTGTAAATATCCTGATCTAACAAAATTCGATTGTTCTTTTTTATTACTCGTGTACATTTTTATTTTCGTTTATATTTTTTTTAGACCATCATACAATTTAAACTGTGATTTATAATTATAACTTAATGGAATGTGTAATTTAACTGTGAGAGTAAATATATGATAATTTGTAAAAATAACCGATTACTCATTTCGCCCCAGGATTCCTAACAGTGTTCATTACTTGATAATGTATTAGTATTATTATTGCATGCAATAAGAAATTGAGGATAAAACCTGAAAAGTCCTTGAAATATTGAGTTGTTATTGGGTAAATCAATACCAAAGGTAATTTAAGATAACGAAAAATTTCGTAAAACCAAAAGAATTTTGTTTATAAATATTTCAAATTTATATTCATTCCAAGGACTTCTGTTTATTATTCTTTGTACGTACTCGTGTATTGTTTTCTATTTTCGTGCTTGGGCAATTGAAATGTCGTAATTAACGTTGGTTGAGTAAACAGCATTGACCGGAATTTTCTTTCACCAAATTTGCAGATGCTGCAAAACGTTCGGTATTTCGTAATTAGGCATCGCGGCTCCTTGAACTTGGCCAAGTACATGCACGACGATGCAGCTGCCCAGCAAGTTCCAAGAGATTTCGAAGAGGACTTCAAGAGAAACCATATTCCTACAAATCTCTTTCAGAAAGCGTTGCTCGGAGTGGGAGCTGCAACAGCTTCAATTGTGGATCCACGCAGAGGCGATATGATTGCTTGCATGGGTGAAGCTACAGGTAAACACGCTGTGCGAACTGCAGCTCGCATTAATCTTACCGCTAAGCTTAATATAAACTAGCCAGATTATTATTTTATCACTTGAATTGTATATGATTTGATTATTTTATCATGAAGGTCAAATGTCGATTGAATACATGCTGGGGAAAATGCAACAATCCGAGGAAGGATCGAAGATTTTGGCAGAACGGCCTAGGATAAATTCCCGGACTGTAGATTTAGAGAAATTGAAGACGATGCCTGAAAACACTTTGGGCAAAACTTATAGCAATTTTTTAGTCAATAACGTGAGTTTCGATCAATCCAGAAACTTAATTATTTTAATAATTTTACTTTCGTTTTTAGAAAGTAACTCCTGATTCTAGACCAGCCGTGCAATTCGTTGACGATGTGAATTTAGCGTATGTTATGCAGAGGTATAGAGAAGTCCATGATTTGTTTCATACAGTTTTAGGAATGCCTACAAATATGTTGGGTGAGTATTTACTTCAGCTAAGATCAGTATGTTATAGCTTATTTACTGCTTTTATTTGAATTTGGTGGAGAAACGTAAATTCTTTTTTTAGGTGAGGTTACTGTAAAATGGGTGGAGGCAATCCAAACCAGACTACCGATGTGTGTTGGCGGTGCTCTGTTCGGCCCGATTCGTTTGAAACCAAAGTGAGATTTCGAACAAGTTGTAGTTGTTTTAATTAATATTGAAATTTTCAGGCATCGCGAATTGTATATTAAACACTATTTGCCGTGGGCCATTCACACCGGTTACAATACTAGTTTCCTGATGAATTTGCACTTTGAAAACCGATGGGATCAGACGTTGGACGATCTCTACGCCGAAATAAACTTCAAGCCAATACAGATTCCAAAATCGTAAAGGTTTCTGCTAAAATCTAGCCTGATTATCTGTATTATTTAATGATTTCACGAGGTTTGAGTTTAAGTCACTAGACTTGTTGAAATAAATTGGTTTTAACTAAATTTTAAGGTGGTGCATAAAGACATTATTTTAAAATATGGGAACTTGATTGAATTTGTTTTACGAGCGCATAAATTTTGCAGAGCTCGTAAAGTTGTTGGAAAATTTAATTAATTTCAACTTTAACGATTCATTTATGAACTGTTAATATTATCAAATGGGACGATAGCATGTTTTATGATTTCCAATGTTACTTGCATGTAATTAAAGAAAATATATTAAAGTAATTTTCCTCAAAATTGAAGGGAAACCCAAGTTTTAAATAAGTTTTACTGTAAATAAAGTTGCCTACCATCAGTAGTCAAATTTACTTAAATTTTTATTCGTTTTGTAAATTTAAGATTATTAAATATTTTATTTTCTATTTAATTACAAAATATATCATAAATCTCTGTATATTAATAAATCTATTAGATATTAGAATACTGTTTATACAATTAGAGCGCATTGAGTTGCATACGTGGCAAGAATAATTGTGCGGTTAGCGTTGCGTTAATTGATCAGGGCTCTTCCAGTTCCAGCTTTTGCAGTAATTCCGTTAATTTTGTGGCCTTTCGCTCTTCGTTCTTCTCTATAATTGCGCACAGATACTCCGTGAGCAAATCTTTGCGTTCCTGCTTCTGATGCAAATAGAGTTTTGCATCAAGGAATTCCTTCTCAGCCCTCAAGTATTTCTTCTGTGCCTCCATATAATCAAGGCTCGCATTCTCAATCTGCTTCCTCAGCACCTTGACATCATTCGATAGATTAGCATCCAGCTTCTTGAACTCCTCTTGTATATCATTCAGTTTCTGCTGCTCCTTGATAGTCTTCTGAGTCCTATCTGCCAATGCCTTTATTAATAATTCTTTTCTCCTCCTGTTCTGCTCCTCGATTAACTTCTGTTTGGCTTCGAATTCTTCCAAATTCTTTTTTTTGTCAGTGCAATCATCAAGGATGATGTTTAATTTTTGTTCTTGCACTGTTGGTTTATCCTCATTTGTAATTGATTGTACTGTTGTTGTGGCAATAGGTTTTTCTTCAATTTTTGCCTCTTCTGGTTTAGGTGTTAATTTAGCTTCCTCTGGTATTGGAGTAGCTTCGATTTTGGTGATTCTCTCGTCCATGATTTGTTTCGTTTTCGCATCGTTTTGATTCAGCTTTTTAGGTTGATTTAAAGTGCTTTGTTTATGATTAGCTACAACTGACTCAGACTATTAATTATTAAATTTTCATAATTTCGATTAACTTACGTTTGGATTTGGTTGGGCTTTGACCGTTCTGCACTTTTCTGATGTCCGCCTCTGAGAATCCCGTGAAACCGGACATCGCGTTCGTGATTGTGATATGGAAACACGAAACGCGGGGATTCTCGTGTGATGGCTTAAGTAGAGTTCAAAGCGCTTGCGTCTGTGCGGATTGCATAAACAGATGTTTGTATTATTGAGACGTGTGTTTGGAAATTCGCCGGATAAATAATTCAAGGACTTAATTTCGGATCGCGCGCGACTCGACAGCCGACTCCAGCTTTTGAATTAGAAGCGTCGAGTAAATAGTAATGAAGTTTTGTTTGGGCGTAGTTCAGAGCCAAGTTCGAAACTGCTGCAAAGAAAGTTTCAGCGCTCTTGGCATGTTCGCATTTCCGCTTTAATATTTGATAGCACGACGTCTTCACCAGAATTGCATTGCAATTAAAGATTTACTTTACATGAAAATAGTTACTAATCAATGTTGATTACAATTTCACACTGCACATGAGTTTAATTTTTAAGCTTAAACACAAATATTTGATTTTAGTTCAAGTTCAGTTGTTTGAAAGTTTGCGCATCAATATTTGATGTTTGCGAAAGAAATTCAATAAGAAGGCGATTTATAAAAGGAATTTCTTTTATTTGTTTACATGATAATTTATTTTTTTTTATTAAAATAATTACTAATCATTGGTACAAAGGTAAAATTTCTCTCACATTATTTACAAATTAGCAAACTTACGGGCTAAAATAAATTACAAAAATGATTTTCTTCACTAAACATCTAAAAATATTTACAAGCGTATTGGATCTCCTGTTGGATTCTTTGTGTATGTTTTTTAATTTTAGTTGTTGAATGAGTGTGTGTATTTTGTTAAAATTTAATTTAAGCTAAGTTTTACATGATATGGCAGTTTCAGGGTATACAATACAATACAATCCTATACAATAATACAATTACATTAGATGTACCTAACCGATTCAGCAAATGCTTTATAAAACCACTCGCTTCTTGTTTCATAAACAATGTATGTATATAAATATGTATAAATAAATAATATGTACAAGTAGAGTGTGGTGTGTGTGTATGTGCGCTTCCTGTCTTAATCCCATCTTCATTAACTCAATAATACAACAAATATTAGATCCCTGTCTGTATCTAACTAACAAAATAAATGAACTAGTTATCTTTGGTTCTTACTGGCTTCTTAAGAAATATGCTCGAGTCTAAACTTAGCAGACGTCGCGTTTCTTCAGCCGCATTTCGCTGGTGGCGACCGCGATCCATTCGTTCCTGGAGCTGTCGAACCAAGTCAATCCCAGGTTGTATTTCCCGTTGAGATTCGCGTGCTGGCAATGCGAGAACCACCAGCCGCCTTCGTAGTTGCTCGCGCAATGCGTGTTCGAAATGTCTCTGTCGTTATCAACAGTGGAGAATTCCATCCGGTTCTGATAATCCAAAGCGTCGCTCGCGTTTCCGCTGTATCTGTTCACGTCTAATCGGAAGCCGTTCGCAAAATCGGCCACCTTGAAATCATCGTACGTCGCCTGCCAGTACTTTCCGTAGATGTCCTTCATGTTGATCTCGAGTTTGGTGCAGTTGCTCTTGGTCAGGTAGTGCAGGTTGCGATTGCCGAGCCAGTGTTCCCCGGTCGGGGATCCGAATCCGTTGGAATAATCGTTCCAATTCCTGTTGAACTCCACCGATCCGTCGTACCGTTTCTGGATCGTAGTCCAGCCCTGACTGCAGTACGCCAAAATCGGTTCACCGTCTCCCGGTGAGATCAGATAGACTCCGTTGGGACCGTTGACCTCGCCGCAATCATTCGGTAACTTATTAACTATACTCTTGTACTCCTTCTCGAAGCTCTTCAACTCCTGCACCAAGTGGATAGTCGATTTGGTCGCGTTCACATCGGCCGTCGACGATTCAGACTGCAATGAAATAAATTAACATTAGTAACAAGAATTAAATTGTAAAGCGCGAATGTTCCGCTTTAAAAAGCAAAGTCATCTCGTGTAATTCACCTTCAAGATGTGATCGTGCAATTTGGAGGTTTGCACGCTGCTGGATTTCTTCACCGTCTCGAAATCCTGCGCTAATCCTTGCAGCTCCGACTTGTAGTCCTCGTGTTTATCTTGCAAATTAGATACGCTCACGCTGATGGCCTTCATGGATGCCCTCGTGTTATCCTGATCCTCCCTCAGCGCAGCCAGCTTGGATAATCCCTCGGACATCTTCGACTCGAGCATCGAAATCTCCTTACGGAATTCGGGCACAGTCTTGTCGACGCGAGCCTCCACGGTTTCCACGTTCTCGAGCAGCTGCAGCATGGACAGATGCAATTTGTCGAAATTTCCGTACTGTCTGGTGAGGTTCAGCAGGGCGTTGGTGTTGATGCGTTGCTGCTCTTCGAGATTCATCAGTTTTTCAGCGACGTCCGGTTTGATCTCGTTGATTTTGTGTTGACGCAAATAGTTTTCCACCTCGTTTCCGTTGATCCTATCGTACAACTCGTTGCTGACCTCCTCGCTCTTTCCACTTTGTACTTTCTGTAATTCCTCTTCGAGCTTGGAGACTCTTTGCAGCAGCTCCCCGTTGACGCTGTACAACTTCTTCGTGGTCTTCTCCAAGCCGACGACGTGCTTCTTCAGCAATCTCTGGTGACGCGATTGCGGGATCTCGGAATCCTTGTCGTTGAGGTTCTTCCAGTTAAAGTTCCACTCCAATTGCGCCGCTTTCAGCTGCAAACATAAAAGAACGGTCGTTTAGTGCATACGTTAATGGTTTGTGGGGCGGTGGAGTTAATTTGCATTGCCCCGACGGAGCGGAAAAAGGACGACGGTGGCAATGGCATGTGTTGAGCGCGCCGCGGGGTTCTTTAATTACCTGTTTCTTCGTTCTGCCATGGATCTGCGTTGTGTACATTTTATTGTCGCATTTCCTGCGGCTTAATTGTAATCGATTTTTTCGTCGTATATATGTAGTGCGCTGTATGTATATGTTCTTGTAATGTGTAACGGGAGAAATGCCTGAAATGTCGGCGAGGCTCACAGGTAGGAAAAGACCATTCGCGATTGGTAGTCAGTCGGGCAGGTGGACAACTCTTACAGTTCTTTAACCGAGACTCAACACCTGCCGTGGGCCCCCTCCGCACGCAGGTATTTTTTATCCTGTTCTTTTCATACCATTCTTTCGAATGAGGGAGACCCGAAAGGAAAAGGAAGAAAAGAAAACGAAACGAAAAGAAACCGCCGTCGCCGCCATCGTAACATCAACATCAACAACAGCAGCAGGAGAAGAATTAGTTGTGGAGGACAAAGAACTTGGAATTTAGTGCAATTTACTATTGAAACGAATTTTTCAGGATTCGGAAATTTCACTCGAAACATTCTTTCGAGTCGACGAGTTTCGTTCGGGGCCAGCTGCTCTCCGCTATTTCGAAAGCGCGTCGCGGAATGTTACGCAACGCAAGGACGAAGCCTCTCCGACGACCTCTTTATATATATATATATATACCAGACAAACATTAATGCGAACTTCATCCTCAAAAGTAACCAACCGTATCCACCAAAGAAGAACAAGTTTAAAAAGCAAACAAACGTAATACAACTTTGGCCAGAATTCGTCCAAACGTGCACGAAATGTTAAACAGTTAAAAGTTGAAACATGTGCAAACATTTACAAAATATTCACCACGTATAAAACTACAGTAAATGTTTGTATACACACACACACACACACACGTTGTTTCTGCGTGCTTTCAGTTATTAAATGAAATCGATGGGATTGGCGAAAGCGTTTCATAGAACGCGAAAACTAATTACTTAATATCGAGCGTTCTTGGGTTGAAGCGTGAAATGCGGATTTCGCGGCCGGAAGTTCGGAGGACACGGCGCACGAATTTAATAATTCCATTTCCGGTTGGCTTTAAGGGAGGAAGGCATTAAAAAGCAAGCGGAGTCGTTAAATAAATAATGTGGGCCACGGCGGAGGAGGTGGAGGAGCAGTAGAAAAGAGTCGGTGTTGTTTTCGAATAATTATGTTTCCACGCGGCGGAGCAATGTGAGAGACTTCTGCCGTTATCGGGGTGTTAAAATCGCGGGGCGTGGGAAGAGATGATGATATAATGATTTTATTTTTTCGCGTTCGCACACACAAACCTCTATTGAAGAAGTTAAAAGAGTTGAAGAGATAATTTGTTTGGGAAGCGATTTCGTATTAACGAATTCTTACCTGATTCTTGGTCTTGCCGCACATCGCCGCCGTCGTCGTCGAATGCTCCTTCAACGCTTTGTATTCCTCTCTCAACTCCTCGACTTCTGCAGCTCTCTTCGCTTCCCTGCTTCTCGAATCCTGCAGCTCCCTGTTCAAATTGCTGACGTCCGTGCGAAGCAGCACGAGTTCCGCGTCCACGCGTTCCCTCGTCTCGAGGATGGCCGTCGTGTTCAGTGTGTTCTGCACCTCGTTCACCTCCAGTTTCACCTCGGACACGGCATTCGATAACCACTTCAGCGTCAGATGATCGTTCTTCTCTTGATTACCGTGATGGAATCGATGCCCGCCGACCCTCAATTGATCCATGTCGTTTCTGCAAAACAAACAAACGCACGCATTATTCACCGGAACACACTTCTGCACTCGAAGAATCCATCAATCCTTAATCATCACTGTTCCTTTAATAATACAAAAAAAAAACCCGAAACACCGGAGGGCGATAATTAAAACTTGAGTTATTCCGCAGAACTCGATTCAGAAGTTCGTAATTATTCCGGGAAACCTTCGTTAATAAATATCGGTAACTTTCGACGATGGAAGAAGTTTCGCGCAAACAGCAAACGACAATTTGCCTACATTCACATAAAGCAAATAGAGTTTCCATAAATCCCCAATAAAAAATGATAATAACAGCGATAATTCACATTGAAAACTATTTTCAACTCTTGCTTTCCTTTCCTCCAACTTCTCAATCCTCCCGAAAACCGGCTAATAGAATCGCACAACGCTATTTGCGTCAACCTGTTGGCTTTTCATTTGGGATTATATTCGATCCCGAGCCGAAGTCTGGCCTCCCGCTCCAAATAAAAGGATGGAAATTCCCATCGGAGTCGGATCATTTCGCGCTTACGTTTTTCATTCCTCTCTTTCAGCGCTCGTACATGAATATTACAAGAGGTCTCTCTGTTCTTGTTTTTTTTGTTGCTCCCACCGCTATTATTGTCCACCTACCGCAGACTTTTTAACCCACAATCAATCTCAATTAGCTCAAAACAATTCCATTGGAAACTTTACCCAAAAACAATATTTTTAGGAAACTGATTTAAAAACAACATATTTAAAAAAAATAGTTACAATAGAATGGTCGATTTAACGCACAAACAAAACGTGTTTTTTTATTTTCATTCTGTTCATGTAAAATAACTCGTGTTTCATTTTAACCATATCCAAAAATATATATTTGCAACACTCCATAATGGAACAAATTGATTTACGTGTTCAATATTCGGTCAAACGTGTGTATAATTTTGTATTTTTTTGTGCAAAAAAAAATTATTATTTCGCTGTTTCGTTTTGCGCTCCAATGAATGAGCATGTTCAGAATCGCCCTTAGCATGCAAATATGTTTCACCGTCGGAATTTTCAAACACTTCGAAGCAAATAAGAGCTCCCTTTCAGATGGTGCGCGTTTCATGACGCTCTCGAGGATGTAATCTATGATTTATGGGACACAGTCGAAAGCCCTCAAAGATCCTGCACATACACACACACACCGATTGATTTTACTTATGTAAAATTGGCTCTCCCTTTCTCTTTTTCTCTCTCAGAGAATCTTGAATTATTCTGTTATTTTATAGGGTGGAATATTTTAAACATCGTAAATAAATTCGAATTGATTGAATGTAATTTCTTAGTTGAGATTCAAATTGAGAAATTCAATCAATGTTAAGAGATTGATACAGTTAAAAGCTGTTGTTGTATTATTGGATATTCTAATTGATTTTCAATTAGTAATTTGATAGGTCGTCTGTGTTTACTTTCGCGTGAGAGTTACATGCAAGTTCGGTATGTTATGTTAGGTTTCTCTGGTGACCCGGTGAAGTTATCGCGGTTGAAATATGTGTGTAATATGAATTCAAATGGGCCGAAATGGTCTCATGCATAAAGATGATGGTTAGAGGAGCATCGGGGAAATGGATGGACCCGGTAAATTCGCTTATCTTTTCCGATGTGTACAACGAAACCCGAAATTGACTCGGGCCGTCCCTATTCAAATCGATTAAGCTCCCTTTTCTCTCAATCTCTCTCTCTCTCTCTCTCTCAGCATATGTGTATGCATATGTATTTATCCCTCTCTCGTACTCGCATTTTCAGTCGCTCCGGCGAAAAGGGGTTTAAATTAAAGTCCGTGGGCGAGAGCGGAAATCCTTCATAAATATTATAGTAAAACCGCATATTTGCTCTCAGGCGAAGGGGTTGTTGTTGTTTTTTTTTGTTCTCTTTTGTTTTTAATGCATCGAAGCGGGCGAGTGCGAAGCATATGAAGTGAGTGAGTGTAAATGTTTGGTTTATGCGCGGAAAATCGATTCCGTCGTGTATATTAAAAGTTATACAAAAAAGAAAATGCTTTTGGTTCACGCGAGAAGAGCAGATTAAGGCCTCAACCTCATTGTCGGACGGGGTGCTCTTTGACGCGGAACCGCTGAGTGTAATTAACGGAATTGCTCCCCTTCGGCTAGCCGGAAAATTATTATTTCTACGTCCGTCGGGAGGAAAGAGAAACGAACAGAAAAAAACCGGAAACACGTAGAGAGGAAAAAAATTGGATACGGCATAAAATTTGAATCAAATAAATATGTAACATTTTTTTTGTTCTATTTGTCTCTGTTTTAGTCGCGATCGATATTTCGCGTTAAAAAAAATGATGAGGAGAAGAACTATGAGGAAGTTACATTTTTCCTCTTTATTGTTGTTTTAAGTATTCACCTCAAGTTGCGAATTTCTTCACGCACGTCCGATAACTCTTGGCTCCTGGTAAGTTTGCGCCTCATGTGCTCCTCGATGCTTTTCAAATCTTCGGCGCGTCTCTCCAGGAGGGCCGTCACCTGTTTGCTGACCATCTTCAGCTGGTCCCGCAAGTTGACCTCGTCCTCGAGGACGTCGCTCGTTGCTGTTGCCGCTGCAGCGGTCATCCAGGTAAACACGAGAACTGTGAACATGCTGACCATGGCTACGTAATACGAAGAAGCACTGCACTGCCGCCGTTCTGCTACCATTTCGATCAATGCGGATGGCCTACTGTGGATCGGAGCGCCGGAACTCGGTTTTATACGTGCTTGGGACAAAACTGAACACCCGGCGCAAGCGTTCTACCTGGACAGGTGCTAAAGAACTTTGCAACTCCAATTTTCCGAGAGCCCTTCGTCTCCTCCTTCTCTCTCTCTTATTCACCTATTTGCGACAACGAGTCGCGAAGGAGAAGCAGAAGGCAAACACGAGAGAAACTAATAACAGCAACAACAACAAAAAAAGTAAAGAAACGAAACCCCGGTGGTCTCGCGCCAACTATTATACAACTCTTTCAGCAAACCGTTTAAGCCCCGTGCACTTTATTAACCGTCAACGCTCGCACACAAAATAGAGGGAAAAGGAGTTGAAGTAATTCAATTGTCGCCTCAATCGAAATCTAAACGCAATCCATTTTCACTTTTGTCTCTCCTCTCGACTCATTTCATCCCCCTTTTCTTTTCGTCATTTCCAGTTGATTTATCTGCGTTCCTCTGTGAAACGAAATTACACACTTCATCCCTTCATACATCACGCGAAACGAACACTTGTTACCTCCACGGACACCGCAAATCCCTCCGTAAAATACATCAGGAAACAGCGATTGTTTATTTCACGTGAAACTTCTATTTTTAACCCACAACTTTTGTGACTTATTTCTGGCACACTGAATACGGATTTTCTCCCTAAAGTGGGTGTGTTTCCTCCATACATCACATCCGAAAACTCCACTTAAATCTATGGTTAATATACATACTTTAAACCAACTTTAATTTATTTTGCTTGTTAAGATTCCAAACGCTGCATTTTTTTTATCCGCAGTTAAGGAAAACACGAGAAGCGTAACTTCTCCAATTAGACAATTTATAGAGAATCATGCAAAAACTTTCAGTTTACAATTACTGTGAGATTCATATTACATCCATGTTTAATTATAACTCAGTTTAAAGTACTTTAATCTTATCATTTTCACGAATTAACTTCAAATAAGTTTATATTAAAATTTCTATTTTTATTTATTAATATTACCTAATTTCATGGTCAAATGTGAATTCGATTTTTCTGTTCTAATGTTCTCTATTCAATAAAATAACAATAATAATTGGGTTTTATGAAAGAGACGGTCGGAATTGAAATCAAGAAAACATTTCTGCAAATGAAATGAAATTCCATGAAGGGATGGACACGTTTTTTATGTGTCGCGCAATACATGTTTTATGCGAGGGATCAAAGGATACGCTCACACATAAAATAAAACGCGTTACAATTTTCGCCAAAGTTTTGTATTTCATCTCTCGCCCCATTCACACAGACACGTTAAAGCAGCGTTTTTCAAACTGTGAGGTGCGCCTCCCTAAGGCAGTGAGCAATTTTCCAAATATCTGCTAAAGTATAAATTAGAACGTTCGAAAAAGTAGGGTTTCACATTTCATTGATTTACTCAAAAACTATAATAGATAAAATGAATCCAATATATGCATATGAAAGACGAATGTTTGGGGAATCTAGCAA